TGGTTTGTAATAACGAAAAGTTTGCAAAATTGAGGATGCAAGTACGTTACGTTTTATATTTTATTACAGTTGAATCTCAATAGGTCAAAACTATCCCTTTGTCCTTTTTTAAAATACAGTGTGACCCCCAGATGCGGATGTAATTGGTGCATCAAGAGTGTCCCCAAGTCAAAATGTCCCCAAGTTTAGTCTTGTTTCCCTGTAGACTTACACTATATAATTTTAATTGGTGTTTTATGGAAGAAATATTCTTTGGAATTCCATGAAAAAAATGTTTTGTCACTTGAATTTGATTCATTGAATATATTTTCAATAAGACCATTTGTAGCATTGAATAGTGAACCTCAGTATAGTACATTGCAATGTTGGCATCTGTAAAAATAACATCCAAGTCACAAAGGGAGAAGAAAGTCCCTCTATGCTATAGTTAATTTTTTTTAATTAGCTGAATGGATGGGAAAAGGATGGGAGAAATACCAATGAATTTTTCTTGCATAGATCTTGGGTTAGAAATATCTGTTTCTTGCAATTAAGCCCAATGAAAATCAATTTTCCTAAAATTTATTGGCAATTTTATCACGCAATGTCTGCGTGTTGAGTCAGTGTCCATATGTTGGGTCTTATTTATGCCTTTTTTATCGAAAAATAAATGTCTCTATGTAAAATAGTCTGCATTTGTGGCTCTCAATGTACATGTCTGAATTCCTGTAGAAACAGTACATTAAAAACCTTTCTAACTTGATGACTTTCCCTCTCAAACCTGTAGAATTACCAGAACTATATGTTTTGGAGGCCTTTTGACAATAGTTTTATTGACTTGGGAAAGAGAAAAGCAATAAGATTTTAACTTGATGCGTTTTGAAAGGAAGTGAAAGACTAATCTGGAATTAAACCCTTGCTTCCAAGTTTAGCATCAGGTCAACTCATACAAGAAACAATTTGAGGCCCAGAATATCACCAATCACAAATTTATGTAATTCTTCTCTCAATTCTGCCAACACAAATACTGTACTTGTTTCCCTGAATCAAAACCTCCATAGATACTGTGATTCGTTTTTTTTGGGTGATCCCTTTGAAATGTGTTTTGAAGAGGCTCGACTGTGTCAGATTTGGTCGTTTCCTTCACTCAATCACTAATACTTCTCTCACTCTTTAAAACCTTCAGGAACCCTTTTAATTTTTTTTCCAACATGACTCCATAATCTCGTTCAACGTTGATTAATTTCTCCCCCTCCCCCATTTTATTTTGAAAGAGGTTCTCTTGAAGCTTGCGTTGAGTGAACTTGTGCAGGAGTGAATGAAGTCATCGGTTGCCGACATTAATTGGTTGCGTAACGGTATAGTAGATGATATACACAGCACTTACTATACTATACTCGTCAGCCCCGAATGTCGTTGGTGACATCATATGATGGCAAAGTTTTACGCTTCCTTAGTTGTCGCCGAGTTGTGAAAGGATTGCTCAATGATTTCTCTGCGTCGTCTTTTTATGCGGGCAATTATTCATTGGGCGGCTTTGGCGTCGATTTCGTTGGCAGAGCAGGCGACACGATTATTTATTTATTTTTTATGTGATGAAATGCGAGTTATTCATGAAGGGATGCGAGGAAAGGAAGCTGAAATCGAAGCCTTCGTTCGGACTGAATATCTTGATTTGTTTCTTCTTCGAATTTTATATGTGTAACATGAAATTCGAGACAAATTTACCGCATGTCCTTTTGAAGAGAATTACTGTCGGGGTTTTGCATTGGTTGTCCTGTAATACTGTAGTTGATTTAGTACGAGGATTGTCCCAATGACGCGCTTAGTTGAAAATGTCCAAAAATGGGGAAAAAAACTTGAAAAGATTATATAAATTTTTCTATGGAAATTTAAAACTTCGGTATTTTTGAAAAAAATTCCGTGACCATTTTTCAGTCAATCTCATGATGAGAAGTGGAGAATTTTCTTTTACGGCGAACGTTTTCTACTCACTTCACGGTGTTTTAAAGAAAATGTTCGTAGACATCTGAAAAATACCCAAGTCTTGGACATCTGTCGTAAAGACGTGAAAAATTAAATTAACTTTCCAATGAACTTCCAAGAGTTGTTATGTTATAGATTTTTAAGGGCTACTTTCTTCAGCTGTATTCTAATACAGTACTTTCCTCGAATTTTGGTGATTCCTTAGACTTCGTAATTCGGTATTTTCTGAGAATCTCATGGAAAAGTTAATTGTGAATATTTGAAAATCACATCAATTTTTCTATGAATTTCTAATACTTTGTTACTATTTTTGTAAGATTTTTATTACTACAGTACTTTCTTTAGTAGCATCTTAGTATTGTCCAAGACTGTTCAGTTTTTCTTAGATTTTTAGTTTTTCTTAGATTTTTAGTTTTTCTGAGATTTTTAGTTTTTCATTAGATTTTTAGGTTTTTCTTAGATTTCTGGTTTTTCTTAAGATTCTTAGTTTTCCTTGGATTTTTAGTTTTTCTTAGATTTATAGTGTTTCTTAGATTTTTAGTTTTGTATTAGATTTTTAGGTTTTTCTCAAATTTTTGGGGTTTTATTAGATTTTTAGTATTTTCTTAGAATTTTAGTTTTGTCTTATACTTTTAGTTTTGTCTTATACTTTTAGTATTTTTTAGAGTTTTGTACAGGTATTGTAGTCTTTTAGTATTTTCTTAATCTCATAGGAAAATTCATCTTGAAACAGCATTTATATTTTTCTGATTAACTTACCTGTGAAATTCGAAGATTTTATATTTTATTTTCTAGACTATTAGGACGAGTACAGCATTTTTAAAACACTGCGTGATGTTAAGAGATCAAGTTCTTATTGCAATCAGAGTTTTATGCTCATTTCACAGTGTACTGAAAATAGGCCTAAGATTCAGAAAAATAGCGATATCTTGGAATTTAATTCGAAATGTATTCTCAAATGTTTAGTTTAATATTTTCAAATTGTTATTGCTGTTTGAAATATTCAACTACGCACGCCATTGAGACATCCCTCTTACCTTATTTTCGCAACAATAAGTTGTAATACGCCATGAGACGATTGGTGTTGGTACATTTATTCGAAGAATTCTATCACCATGCTGAATCTGCATGGAGAGAGAGAGAAGTGTGCAAAATAATTGTTTCAGTTCAACTATTTATGATATTATGCTGATGAATGAAAGGTTATTCATTTATTTTTTCTTATTGAAGGGTGCGTCTGATTGTCTTCCAACTGAGGAATCGTTGGCGTTCTACAAGTGGGTTTTCTACTTGGCCCAGTTTCTGATCGGCGTGGGAGCCACGCCACTCTACACCCTCGCCGTGACTTATGTGGATGAGAATGTCGCCTCCAAATCATCCTCTGTCTACCTAGGTTGGATTGCATTCATTTCAATTTCTTGTACAGTATTCATCGATTCAGGAATTCTGGGGAATATTCCGAGACCGATTTTTAAATGACGTACTGTATATTTACTCGAGTTGCAGCACGCGCCCTCGAATAAGAAGTTCATCTGAGCTTTGGAGCTCTTTTGAATTAAAAAAAAAAATATTAGATTGATTGCTCATTTCCTGTTGAAAAATTTCAGATTTGTAGAATCTTGGAAAAAGTATTATTCCTGCATCAGACGCGCACCTTAGTTTTCACCAACTACGAAAATTTAAATTCGGAAAAGGTTTTAAAATATATATTGAAGCCCACTTGAAAATCAAAATTCAATGGCAATTTTCTTCGATCTTACAAATACCTGTAACAGTATTATTATATCAAAATCTCCGAAAAAATTTTGAAAGTGGAGAGAGAACAGTTCCGAATGCAAAAAAAATTTCACTTGATTTGACTATGACGCACACCTCAGTTTTTGCCCAAATTTATTGAAAATATGTGCATGTGGTACTCCGTTGAAAACGATAAAAAAGCTCTTAATAATCTGAATTCGAACCGAAATTGACGGTTTTTTCATCGCTTTAGAATATTTTCGTCTCGTATAACGCTTGCTTTTTTATGTTTAAAAAGGCCTGAACTTAAAAATAAAATTGCTTCGTTCGGGAGNCAAAATTTATCCAAACGCTGACGGAAATTGATGTTTTTTTTTTTAATTTTTATTCAACTTAGGTTGGGACTCACTCCGGAGAATAATCTTTGGGTCGGAGCCTGGTGGATTGGATTTTTAGGCTCCGCGATTTTCGGTGTTTTGATATTTCCTCCTATCGTTGCTCTTCCAAAAACCCTTCCAGGTTTGTTTATTCATTTCTTTAAAAATTTAAATTAAATAAATAAAGTAGAGAGAAAAATGCACCTTTGTTTCGAAAATGGAACTCCTGCTCGCATTAATTTTCGGTCACGAATAAATATGATGAACAGAACTCAGAAGTCTTCGAAGATCCTCGGAATGACGTCAACAATTTTATAAACTGCCAAGCTGCATGAGAAAAGATTTGAGTATGTTTATCTCCGACTTTTTTCCGTAATAAACACGGCGAAGAGTATTATTTTTTAATTCACCGTAATCATTTTTCAATTGTATTAGATTTTTTAAATTTTAAAGTAACATATTTTAATGTATCTTTCATGTGATGAAAATATAACTTGATTGCTGATTGTTCATCGAACTTGAAAATGCCGGTGGTATCATTTGTATGGGTTTTTTGTTGTTGAAATTTATCTTTCTCCAAAATCTGGGCTGAAAAATAATTTTACTTCGCCGTTTGAGTTCATCGTTTTTTTTTGTCCTCGTTTGACGCATTGCACGATTTTGAAATGTATATTGGACATCAAAACACTTGATATATCGAACACTTGATAACCGCAGTATAGGTTTAAAATAATTCATTCAAGTGAAAATGTACTTCGATGCTGATTCTCCCTCGATCTTGAAAATATTGGCGTCATGAATAATGTTTCATGATTTTTGGAAATTCATGTCGCAAAAAATCTGGACCAGAAGAAAATTTTTTTCCTTCGGATGACGCATGTTGCAGGATTTTAAAGCGTTCCTTGCTCATCATTATCATCTTTTCGCCTTTATTTTTTTCCATCAGGAGGGAAGGAGCTGAAATTGACGAGAAAACGAGAAACGCATCAGTCGAACGTGCATCTGACCAAGTGGCTGGAAAACACCAAGGCGAGCAATTCGAAAAAGGCCCAGGGTTCGTCGGTGACGAAGATCCACGTGCGGGAACTGACGATGGCTCTCGTCAGAGTCGTGGCTGGCAACCCAACTTTCTTGTTCCTCACGTTGGCAGGGGCTGCCGAGGGCTTTCTCCTCGCCGGCTTTGCCACCTTTCTGCCGAAATACTTTGAAAACCAATTCCGACTCACTGCGGGACTAGCGGCTATGATCGTCGGTGAGAATGAGACCTGGGTGCTGATTTCAACTGCTTTATACTGTTCTGTACTGTGAATGAGAAGTGTGCTGGGACCCCGACATACGGACGATTCGACTTTGGGACACTTGCGAATAAAATTTTGAAAAAGAAAAATCTGTCCCGACATCTGGAGAATATGTCTCGCGATACAGAAAATTATTCGCCATTTATATAGAACAAAAATTTATATATATTTTTGCAGATTTTGGATGTCTCTTGAACAAATTGAGCTATTTTTACTGTACAGTATTTGTAAAAAAAAAATATACACTTACCTAATTCTTAATTAAACACTTTTTTTCATGCAAAATCATCACTTTAGTATTGCCACAAGCAAGATCAGCTAGTAATTTACAGTGAGACCCCAAGATGTGGACGTAATTGGTGCATCAAGAGTGTCCCTAAGTTGAAATGTCCCTAAGTCGAGTCTCATTTTCCCTTAGACTTATGTTATATAATTTTTAATTGGTGTTTTATGTAGAAAATACTCACCATAATCCCATGAAAACAAAAATTGTCTTCCAATTCAAAATGAGTCCAATCAATATATTTCAACACAGTATGGACTTTTGGGGAATTGAATACTGATACCTCTGTACAGTGCATAGAAATTTTGGCATTCTCTGTAAAAATAATATTCAAGTGGAGAAGAGAGAAGGAAGTCCCTTTATGCTGGAGGGAATTTTTTTAATTAGCTAAATGGATGGTAAATTGGTGACAGAAATGCCCAAGAGCTTTTCTTAAATCAATTTTAGGGTTGGAAATATCTGTTTCTTGTAATTTGGCTTGAATTTTATTCTCAATTTTATAACAAAATGTCCCCATGTTGAGTCCGTGTCCTCATGTTGGGCCTTTTTTATCAGTTTTTTATGATAATATAAGTGTCCCCATGTCAAAGAGTCCGCAGGTTGAGGTGTCTGCTTGTGGGGGTCTTACTGTACTTGAGTCTACAACATCACAATTATCATGACAAAATTGAGTGATTAGGATCTTTTCTCTGCCTTTATTGATGTTACACTTGAGAAAATGAACAAAATCTTCTGCCAATAGTCTTGTACTCAATTCTGGGTAAATTGCAGACAATTTAACATAGAATGTCTTAAACCGCTGTAATTTCAGATTTACCGTAGTGGGCAGTTTGTTGCATCATCTAACATCTTTTATTTTCGTTATCAATTTGTGCTTTCCTGCTATGAAGTGATTAAAATGTCATTGAGAGGATTTGGGTTGGGTGGAAAGGGGGTTTGGCTGTGGAAATCTTGATTGAACCTTGTGAACGCTGAAAAGCGGCAAATTAAAGTGTTCTGTTCATTCATTCAATCATCACTTTTCAGGAGTGGTTGCAGTTCCCGGCGCCGGCGGAGGCACTTTGCTGGGCGGCTACCTGATCAAGCATTACGACATGAAGTTACCGGCCATCATGAAGATGTGCTGTGTGTCGACATTCCTGGCTGGCCTGTCGACACTCATCTTTGTGTTCAGCTGCGACGACGTGGGGATCGCGGGCGTGACAGCAGCTTACGAGCCCTCGCGGCTCTTGTTTGCCGGTGGCAACGCTAGCGCTGATCTCGGACCACGGAACTCTGCTGACGACGATGATGTTGATGATGAGTCTGCTTTTGATCGGTGGGTGTTGATGGTTTTAACTTATTGGGAAATTTCCAGTTCTTGTTGCATTTTTTTTTTACAGTTGAGCCACATTAACTCAAACCTCTCCATTTCAAATATGTTTAACCCCTGGACATTTTTTCAGTTTTGAATGAAAACTGAAAATAAAGTGATGAAATAATCAAATGCTATTCGAATTAAAACGGGCATGAATCAAAATCCAATGAGAAGACTTGAGGTCTTCTCATTGACCTCATGAGGGGGGGAACAAGTTCCTTTTCATTATTCAAAGGTGTGTATTTTGTTTTGTTTCAATTTTTTTTCATTTCAGGAATTTGGACCTGTTCCACGCCTGTAACTCAGCGTGCAACTGTGATGTCTCCCAATACGATCCCATGTGCGGATCTGACGGGCTTCTTTATTATTCTCCTTGTTTCGCCGGCTGCAGCGAATCCCAGCGATCCGCAGATAATTTCATGGTATATTTTGCACATTTTGAATATTTTTTCTTTTTTTGTGGGGAGAACGTGAGGGGTACCTAAGCTTTGAAAGTTGCTGGGAAATCGTCGGGAGGTTTTTTTTTACACAGATGACAGAAATTACTCATGAATATTATTACTGTAAATAACAATATATAATATATTAAATAAATAAATATAGATATTTATATAATATTATCATTATTATGAATATTGTTCAGTGAGACCCTGATATGTGGACATCCTGACATATGGACAATTTGACTTAAGGACACTTGAAAACAACAACAAAAATCAGGCCTGACATCTGGCCATTGCCTCAAGTCAGGGACACTTTTCTGAAGTTTTACCAAAAATTGAAACATTTAATTTTTAATTTTGATTTATTTTGAGGAACTTTGAAGCTATTTATATTCACAAAATTTGAAAAAAATATTTCATGATAAATTCACTCTAATTTATGATCAAAAGAAAGGTATTTTGTGATTCCCTTTTCAGAGTTTTTTTTAAATATCATCTGTGCATGTTCTAGCAAGATTTATTCTTTTTCTTTGATTTTTAATCTCTTTTTGATATCAAAAGAGCAGATTGTATGTGGTTTTGTTTTGCACTGTTGTTATCTACAACTTGATGTTGAGGAAAACAATTTTTATTAAATTGTTTGAGGACTCATTTCTAATTTTTGACAAAAAGGAGAACCAATTAATTACTATACATNTGCTTTTGACGAATGGACAGGGTTGTCGAGGAAGCAGACAGGAGTATAGCATTGGGTGTGCAGTTGGCACTACTGCGCGTGCTGGGCACGATCCCGGCGCCCGTGCTTTTTGGCAAGCTGATGGATTTGGCGTGCAGTTTGTGGGAAACGATCCCCGAGGGTCCTGGTGAAGGCTGTGATGTGCAAGGGGACGTCGGGTCAGCTGGGGTCACGATCTCCAGCAGCAACAGCAAAGGAGGTGCGCAACTCGGCAGTTGCAGGGCGTATTTCAATCACAGCATGAGCACGTGAGTCCCATCATCGTGAATTATTATTACTTTGTGTGTGTTTCTTTAAAAAAAAAGTTCTGAATTTTTTTCAATGAAAATTTCCAATTCTAATTTTGCATTGAACTGAATTTAGTTTCCACATCCTATGCCATCAGAAATAGTTGTTACAGCAATGAAATTGTATTCGGGTACATTTTTCTGCAACACCATAAAAACAATGCTAAAAATCTCTTCATGTCAAATTTTTTTTATCTTTAGAAAAAATTCATTTTCCAGTCTCCATTAAAATTATTGGAATTTCTGAATTTTCAATTTTGCCTCGGATTTTATTCAAGTAAAAAGTATAAAACTATCTCTTTTAAAATGGTGTAATGGAATTGCCCTTGAAAGAATCTGAGTCATTGAATAAATTACAGCATTAGATAAAATTTGCATATGGGAGAAAATTCGATTTTAATTTGAAAAACCTGACAAAATTATGTATTAATAATTTTGTGTTTTGGATGGAAACCTTATTTTCCTCAAAAGTAAACTGGTTCAAACAATAAACTGGGAGTTCAACTAGGGATGAACATGCGATTCCTGATGGAGTTGTAAATTTTTCAAGGGGACATGGGTATAGTGTAATAAATATTTGGTAGAAAAATTTGTTCCTTGTTCTTTGTACAGTACAGTACTGGAAAATGTAAGTACAGTATATAAGGAGTTTTTGAATCACCTCAGAACTACTGTATCAATAAAAGCCTAGTATTTTATAGGAGTTCTGAACTTTCCAATTAAAAAAAAAAATTGTATGAAGATTTCTGACTAGAATTTAATTTTTTCAGGTACTTGCTGATTGTGGGTGTGATTGGGAAAGTGCTCGAGTTTCTGTGCTTCTTCTTGGCATTGAAATTGTACAGAGCTCCTCCTGAGCCAATGGCTCAAGATGCATCAGCATCAGATGATAATGACGTGAAACATTCCAACAATTTCAAGAGTTTGCAGCCATCTCTGGAGATGAATGGTTACAGGAAAACAGAAGATCGTGAGTACAATATATACTGTATGAAAGCTTGACTCGTGTGTTTCTTGATTGTTAGGATGTTGTTCTGGTGGTTGGTCGCAGTTGGAGAGATTTGTATACTGTGTCACTATATATATATATTTTTTACATTACTCGTGATGATGATTTGAGTGGGAATATTCCCTTAGATTTTAATCGTGTTGTAGATTTGTGAACTAACCGTGGAGGAATTGTTCTGTTTTAGAATGTTAAGCAGAGTGCTGGCCAAGAAAAGTGCCCACATTTATTTGGACTCTTGAAATGAATCTGGCGGCTAATTTGGAAATTATCTTAATCTTTCCTTGCACTTTTGAACAGATTAAAAGCCACACTACGGGCATAAGAAAAACTTTTAAAAATTGAGTAAAAAAGCTTCAATATTATGTTTATGCCTTTTTTGGTTCTGTCAGCAGTTTAAATTTTGAAAGATAGCTGTGAGCATGTAGGGCCAATAAATTAATTTTTGTGTGACCACTTCCAAAGTTGTGAGTCAAATGCTTCGGATCAAATATTATTAATGCTGATAATAAGTGGGTAGATTCTTTATTCCTGGCCAACTCTGCTATAAAATGAATTCACGCTAAATCAGTAGGTGCTGTAGATTGGTCTAATTAATGTATCCTTCCTTCTTTTGTCTGATTTCACAACAGCGACAGTTCTTGTGAAGCTTCTGGATTCCTCCTGATGAACGTGCCATTTGTAGGCTGATTAATTCTGAGAGCTTTTCATGCGCGCTTAATTTTCTTAAAAGACTTTCAACATCAAAAACACCGGTTGTGACCAAAAACTTCAATTTTCGATTTTTAAAAAAAGAAGAGGAAAATACTATTGTGTTTGTACTGTACATACGCTTCCGGAGTTGAAAATACGGCAATTTACGAATGATGGGAAGGATTGTGTTCTTGGAAGACTGAGGGCATTGAAACTATGTTAAAATGGCTGAAAAGTCACTGCTGGTCAAGATGGTGGCTGATGCTCATAGTTCTCGGTAACGTGGCACAAAAAATGCGATGGATGTTGGAATTTGTTTCGGTGCGGGTTGTGTTGGACGTGGGTTGGAGCTGAAGCACTGGTTATTTCTGCACACTTTTCGGCTGTCATTTCGTGTTCGGTGCGTCTTTCCTTCTCTTTTTCCCCAGTACTCAGCATGAAAAGCTGTCGAATAGTGATACTTTTGGTGTAGTTATAACTTAAAGCCAAGCCAGTTTCCTCAACAACAAAATAAATTTTTAACAATCTCGTAGCACAGGTTCTCAACCCTCCTGAACAAAAACTGAACAGTGCATGCAAGCACTGGACTGACAGCAATTACCTTTTTGAATTGAAAGAGATACAGCAATGAACCCAAAAAAATTGTGTTCGAAAATAAGTTAGGAATGTCAATTAATTGTGTGGAAGCAGAAATTTTCCTTTTCGCTGATTGACAGTGACGATATTTAGAAGAAAGAGGGCTTTTCTAGCCAGGAAGGTTGAGAACCTCTGCTGCACAGAAAGTAGACGAACAAAACTAGCATTCTAGTGTTACGGTAGAATGATAATCATTACATTTTAATTAACACGCAGGTGGGCAAGTGAAGCCGAATCAAGTTACTCACGCGTACGATAATCCTGTTCCCGTGGACTGCTGATAATTCCTGTGTCTGCTGGTTGAAGCAAGTGATCGAATCTAATTTTGTGGTTGTGCCGAGAATATTTTCAATTCCACACCAGTACATTTGATGAAGTGCGTGAGTTGGTTTTGCAGTTTCCTGGCTGGAAGGTATTGACACCCAACAGTTCACTTTCATTCACAATCCCTCATCATGAACATTCTTTGTTTATATTTTTTAAGTTGTGCCTTCTGTTGATAAGTTGGAATAAACGCATTCTCTTGGTGAATTGAAGACCTCTTCACTCTATAAGACATAAGAGTGACATCTATAAGTTTCACAAATGAGCTTGGAGAAAAATGTGAGAGTAAGATGTCGACTCTGAAAGCGAAACACACTTGCAAGATGATCATACATTCTGTCTAAAAACACCCATCATACGAAATCGATCTTTTATCTACCCCTCGTCAGCGACTGAAATTCAGTCGCACACACAAAAACAAGCAGTACACAGAACGCTGTTCCAATCACAAGTGTTGCACAAATGAAGCTACGGTCTCCCTCCACATGCAAAGCGCCGTCAGACTTCACTTCTACTTTGGTATGATCAACATGATTCAACGCCAACAACTGATATAAAAAGTGACAAATTCCGGCAAAGTTGTTCACCTACAATTACCGACACAACGCCATACAAGTTCTTACAGAAAATTCAAACTGACCCTTAAAAGTGTGAAGATTGAAAATCACTAACAGCAATCATTGTTTGTTTGTCGTCGGTTAATGCAGTGACATTGATATTTCAGATATAAGACTCGCAAGAGCCCATGAGTTTTTCTCCTTCGACTCTTAAATAGATTCCGGCCTCCTTAAAAGCACAGCAAAACAAACAAACAGCTGCCAACTAGTGCAAGATACTTTCTTCTGATTTTGTCATAAGTCCTCCCATTGAAGAATACGTTCAACTATCTCAGCAGCGAATGAACGGCAATACATCCCATCATCACAGATACGAGGTTTGCGGGGACACGTGGCCGTGTTGCAGGGCGGCCAACACGTCGCCCTTTTTGCGCACAAACAACCGCCCCTTGCGCCACGGGTTCTGCAGTTTCAGCGGCTGAAAATCGTCCCTCAGGCACCGTTCCCGAGCTCCAATGACCGCCACTAGGCAAAAGTCTTTCAACTGCTCCACGCTGTACACGGGGCCGCCTTTTCCCTTGAGGACCACTGCCATGTTCAGTTGTTGTACTACCAGGTCCACGACTTCCCGGGCTGAGGTTTGCGAGGTGACGTGCAGCTTCACACTTGTGCCTGCTGCCAGACCCGTTTTGTACGCTGCATAAACCTGATGAAAACAAAAATTTCCCTCATGAAATACTGTACTCGTGTCATTCATCAACATAGAGATAGATAGATGGCGCTCCTACGAAACATCTTACTCTTTTGTGAAGGAATGGAGTACTGTACAGTACAGTACAATAAAAAGTGTTATTAGCATAGCATCAAAATTTCATTAAAATTCCATAATAAACTGAAATGACACTCAGGATTGCAGGAACTTTTAAAATGTTGAGTAGAGTACGTATGCATTTTTCTCCCAAAAGATCGTGGATAAAGTTTCAAGATGCACAATACCGCAAATTGATCTGAGCCTGAGAAAAAAAAGAAACCGTTCGAAGTACAGTAAACGAATCGCATTAAAAAAGGCAACTCTCAGCTCCGTGAAAAACTCGAGGCATCACCTTGTAGGAAGGTCTTCAGAGGCCAAGGCTTTCCTTCTGCGGACAGTTTAGTATTTTGATTAACTGAACCAATTGGAAGAAGCATGGTAAAAACATTTTTAGATCTTACAAAAAAATTTTAAGAAAAATTAACTAGGGCTTATTTTTGGGATAGTTTGTACATGATGGCATGCAAATAGCTCATCATTATATCTCTAATTCAGGTATTCAGCAATCAAGTTTTTCTGCAGAATGATGTAACATTCCACTGGAGATGTTCATGAGATTAATCTTCTTCGGCAAATACGGTATGCAAATGCATTACTTTTTATAGAATTATTACACACTCTTGGGTAAGACTTGAACCTTGATTATCCAAAAAGGAAATCAGCATAAAAATGAACCCTGCCGCAGGCATGTAATTATTTTTGGAGATCAATAAATTGATATTGAAATCCAGAAGAGATGCGCATTTGAATTTTGGATTAAAGAAAAAAATTAAAATCTGAAACGAAGTCGAATAGAAGAAAAATACATTGTTTTGCAAAATATTCATACAGTGAGACCCTGACATGCTGATGCATGCATGATTCAAGTTAGGATCACTTGAAACAAAATTTGCCCCAACATACAGACACTTCACATACACAACTAGAAAAATCGGAAATTGTAATTTTTCAAAATTTTGATACAGTATCTCTAGAACAAATTGAAATCGATGAAAGGTTAATTTTGTGCTTCTTTTCTTGAATATTATCCATCACCTGTGCACAGTATATCAAGACTAGCACATTAGAAAAAAGGACATTTTAAAAGTACTGATGCCAAATATAAGTTCCTTTCCATCATTTTCACCTACAGAGCATCACTCACAGTTTGCACCACTTGATTCATGTTCTTCTTTTAGTTCAACAAAATTAATACCCGCACACCATGCGCACCCCACTGTTCTGCTATGATTTTGCAGAGAGAAAACAAAAAAGGTGCGCGTGGTACTCAGGTAAAAAAAAAAAAAAACGATTGAACCCACCTGCAAAACGCTGGGTTCATCTGGCCCACCCTGCTGCAGCACATCCACATTCTCCGTCTCCTCATTCGACGACAACGACCTCAGACTCGCAGAACAACTAGACCCTGCAGACTGCTCACTTTCTGGATACGGCACACTTGGCTGCTGCTGCTTCGTCACCTGCTGCTGCTGTTGCTGCTCGGGCTGCATCAAGTGCCTGTACAGCAACCCAGTCGCCGGCGGCTGCGGCGCCCCCACATCCAGCGAATACTTCTTCTTCTTCGCCACGTTCTCATCCGCCTTCTGGAAACTCTTGCCCATCGCCTCCTCCAGGCAGTCGGGTGCACTCACTTTCCTGCTGCTGCTCACTTGATGACCCGTCAACGTGGCTTCCAGGCCCTTGGGCACCATCAACGAGTTCTCACTGTGGGACTGGTTCAGCGTGGCGCCCGGGTGCAGCGGCTGGTGCCCTCCTCCACCACCACCACCACTGACTATTCTCCCAGCCGACTTGCCAGGCGCCACCGTCGGCACGAGGAACAACGACTCGCTGCTCACATGCAGTGTTTCAGAGCCATCTGCCGGGACCACCAGGGAATTAGAGTGCTCCAACTCGCCGGGTTTCTTGTGGTGGTGATGGTGGTGGTGTTGGTGATGATGATGGTGGTGCGACGGGGGCACGTTGATGCTGCTCGCAGTGTGGGACTTGAACAGGTTCTTCTCCTTGGGCGGCGGTGGCGGCAGGGTTTTCGCGGGAGGCCAGTGGTCCTGAGACGACGCCGGGTTGTTCTTGACGCGGAAAGGATTGTTGTTCTCCGTGTTGGCCGAGGAGGAGGAGAAGGAGGTCGGGATGAGGGCAGAGGTGTCGGTGGTGATGGGGGTGGCCCAGTGACGGGCCAGCAGGGTGGCAGTCGAGAGGCTGCCAGAGGGACAGGACTTGTCGCGGGCGTAGGACAGGATGTCCATGATCCATCGGGCGCCTTTCCACGTGTTGTCCAGTTGGGATTGCACTTCTTGGAGCTGCACGATGCGTTTCCGGGCTGCGTCCACTTCCAACCGGGAAAAGGCCTACGTAAAAAAACGAAAAAATGAATAAATTGTACTTGAAGAATAAATTAGGTATACATTATTTGACGCTTGAAAATTCCGCCTTGATACCTGGACAATGAATACAGTATTACCAAGGGTTAATTCATGGTTTCTGAGACTTTCTAAGAAACAGATCCAAATTGCAAAATAAATTCTTTACTCGCAAAGCCCCATCATTTGGCAACGATTCAGCGCTGTTCAACATGGAGACCCCCACATGCAGACACCTCGACCTGCGGACAATTCAACATAGGGACACTTATTTTCCCATAAAAAATCAACAATAAAGGCCCAACATGAGGACACTGCATCAACACAGGGACATTTTGTGATAAAATTGCAAATACATTTCAGGCGTTTTTACCCGAATACGAGACGTGATTGAAAACGTTATATTTGAAGTTCAGGGTAAAATGTGATACGAAATTCGGAAGACATGACACATGGTCACAATCGAGAGAATAAATCACGTCCATATCTCAAAAGTTCCACTGTGATTTCATTTCCTGCAATTCACCGCTTGAAAAAAAAAAAGGAATGAGAAGAAACGCGGAATTATATTTCAGGTGAAAACCGAGGTTAAATGAATGTTACTTTTTTCTGGTTTCGGCACGTTGAGGTTCCTAAAGTAAAGGTCACTGCTGAGTGCTGACATTATAGAAACTCGCACCAAAATTTTCAAACGGGTCCGACATTTTCCATTTGTTTTTATTTTTTTATTTTACAGAGATGTCTTTTTTGACATTACCGGAAAACCTTGACACGTACCTGCAATTTTCGTCAAAGAATCGCGCACGTTTGAACGATTTCCCCGGGTGTTGTTTAAACTATTTCCATAATCTCGGGTTCGCGATCGACTGAAGAAACGTCAATGATGAAAAAATACCCCCCGAGGCAAAGGTCACGACAAAAGAATAGTTTCGTAGTCCACCTTTCAACTGCAGGACTTTTAGCGCTTATTCCAGTGAAGGTAAAATTGCCGTCTCTCGAAAGTATTTATGAAAGGCTATGCTCTGATCGAAAATGCTCAAGTAAATGTTTGCTTGGACGAGAAGAGTTCAAAGAAATTAACCCACATTGGGTCACGCATTCTTCGCCAAAAATAATCACAGGTCTTGATTTACTGCATTTTCAATCATTTATAAATTCACAAAGGATAAATATTATAATATTCAACCAGGAGTTAAAAAAAAAACTCGGTTCAATATCGGAGGTAAAAATGTATTTAAAAAAAACCGACTGTGTGAATGCTACATTTCGGCAGACACTGGATTGTTCACAACCCGATTGAAATTTCAACGCAGAAGGCCTAAGATTGAAAGACAACCAAATTCATTCTGATAAAAACAAATTATTTTTGGATTGAAGACGATTTTGCGCAATACTTCTACTTCAGGAATGCAGTATTTCTTTTTTTATTGAAAAATCACAGCATTCCTGAAATATAAAGTTATAACTCTATTTTTATTCGCGTAAAATCGTCTTAGATCCAAAAATTTTTTTTCATCAGTATGAATAGAACAATTCTTTCAATCAGGAATGCAATGTTTTATTCATTTCAATAAAAAAAAATACAGCATTGCTACTATTTTTTGAAAAATGTACACCGGCCTATGAAGTGCACCCCCTTTTTTCCTCTCGAATTGCAGAAAGAAGTACGAGTGGTACTCAAGTGCATACAGCAGTTTATTTGGTACTACAGTACTTGAAGGTACTGTACATTGTTTCGGTCAATGATCCGATTTCCACTGTTCCGAGAATTTTGGTACTGTACTCAAAAATTGGATCGATTTCCTGGCCTCTCCCTCTTCAAAAGGTCTCAAAAATGTACCTTTTGGGTCTTGTAAAAATGTATTCTTCGGTCAACAAAAAAAAGAAAAGAATCAATCAGAGTCCATGACATGTCCTATTTCGGTACAAACACACGATGTCTGTTGTCTCGATAAATTTGGTCGTCTCACCTCACGATTGGCCTGCTGAGCCGAGCTCTGGTCCAGCTCGAGAATAGAAAACAGTCGGCAGTACCGGGACACGAATTCTCGTTGATAGGTTCGCAAATGGGCCATTTCGAACACGGACACCGGCACGGAGATGAAGTCCCGTCTCTCAGTCAACAATTCGTGCGTTTGTCCAGGGATCGAGCAAACATTCTCGGGCAAGGGCAGGACCATGATGAACGACACCTCGGGACTCACTTCCAGCACCTCTCGAATGTATATCCTGGAAAGGACAACCGCAGATCCACTACAGCATGTTTTCAAAAAAATAAGACAGGGATGAGAAATGAGTAAATGAATAACACTAAAAAAAAAAAAAACGAGAGAAAAATATTCGAAAAATTCAACGAGGTTCGTGAGATAGCATCACCGTAATTTACACGCACTCTTTTTTTTTCACGAACACTCTCCTATTATACATAAAAAAAAAAAGACGGAGAAATTAATACATGGATAAGAGGAAAAAAACGAAACGAAAGAACATTTTTAAAACTCGTCAAGGCTTCTAGAGAAAGAAACGTTGTCATTGACACCGTGCTTCCACACAAATACTTTCCCACTTGGTACTTATTCGTCAAAACTGCCTCTACAAGGAATAAATTTTCCTGAAACATTATTTCTGTACAATGTTTCTAAAAGCCCCGACGCTAAACAAGACAACGGACAAATAATTATGACATATTCCAAGACTATTTTTTCCTAAAAAAAAAAAAAACTAGTTCCCTGATTGAGTCCTAAAACGTTGTTGAAAATCAGACCTTTAATTAAATTACAGTATAACAAAATAAATACGGGCTTTGGACGCTTCTCCGAAATGAACAAGCCGAGTTTTCTCATCTCAAGTAAAGGGAAAATAAAATACCGTCGAAATAGTTTTTCGTTTCGCAAATCCCCGAGCTGGAATAACTTTCAAATCAAGGTTCCTCTTTCTCTAAATCCAACCAAAACATCAATTCTCAACACTGATTGGTTCGTATGATCATATATGAACATTTCAAAAAGCGTAACTTCTCACTTTTAAAAAAGCAAAGCAAATAATTCCACACTAAAAATTCATAAATTTTTTCCGTCTGCTTCCTCTTTTAATTAAGAAGAAACGTAAGCAGTACTCATTTTTAAATCAAGACAACTCGGGTTTCGTAAAAAAACAGGAAATAGGAGAACTTTGACAATCTTCAATGTCTACTACAAACGGCAATTCTTTCGCAGTCATCACTGAATCAATCCTGAAAGAGATAACGCCCACAAGTACTCAACATTATCCCGACCTTCCCATCGGAATGGAATTCCGACACTTTGGTATCACAGTAATGCAAAGTATTACAATGATTCGGTCCGACAGGAGTACTGTATTAGCCACGTAAAACAAAAGAGCCTTCTTTCTTTTTTTTTGCTACTGCGAAGAACACAAGTACAGTACAGTCACTTGATGAATTTTTTAATTGGTCGATGCTTCATTTCTGGAAGAGACCTTGGGACACATTAATACACACAGGGGAACAAGAAAAAAAATAAAACTAACCTGTGGCTGCTGGCAGCATTCCTGCTGTCGGCTACACCGAGGTACGCAAAAAGCTTCTTCAAAGCAACCGCGATTTGCCTTTCAAAGATGGAAGGGATGTCCAAGAGATGCGAAGAACCCCCACCCGCACTCAGGATCCCGTCGTCTTGGCACTTTGATAAGCTCTGCAACCACTCCCATTCTTCCCTGCGAAAAAAAGGACTGCATTCAAAACACGAAATCCTTGAGCCATTATTCAAAAGTATTGTCATAAAAAAAAAATAATAAAAGCAAAACAGAAAGTCGAGGAACTACTTTTCGAACATCAGTCCTTGGAGAATGACCTCGTGCATGATGAGGACGGATTCTGGGTCACGAGAAGCATGTTCCAGTGAAAGGTAGAAAAACTTTGAAGCCCTGGTCGATGATTTTCAGACAACAAAGCCCAAATAAGTACAGTAAATGTATCTGGGTATTTTCAAAAATTTTGCAAATTACGAGCTTACTCATTCGTGGAAAACTCATCAATTTTTGACAGTTGGATTCTTCTATATACACAATACTGTACAATTTTTCAACTCCAAAAACATGTTTTCGCGTGTCATAAGCTATAACAAAGACGAGGAATAATTAAGGAATACAGTACTTTTAAACGCTTGAATAATGAGGTAAATTAGCACAGATTCAGAACGTATTTTCCTTCGCTTCAATATTTTCACTTTGATGCCCAGTCCGTGAACAAAAATGTTGTAAAATTAAAATTGAATATATTCCAAAGCTGTTTAACAATTCGTAGGCATCACTTCCGTGCTCTTCTTCAGATGTCGCCTCAAGTGCTATCATTTTTTTCTTCATTTATTGCAGTTGGGCATATTAAAACCATGCGAACAATTCAAAAAGAAGTGCACTCAAAAATATGATACTGTATAGTTGAACCTCGATAACTTTAATACCTTCAAGCCTCCATAGGTCGTATTTTCTGTAGGCCTTTCTGCTATTATTTTATTGACACAGAAAAGAGAAAAGTTATAAATATGTAACTTGAGGAGTTTTGAAAGGAATAGAGGACTAATTGAACAAGTAAACCCTTTCCTTCAACTTCTGCATCCTGTCAAATCATTCAAGAAGCAATTAAAATCCCAGAATATCAAAAATTACAATTTCCTGCAATTATTCCTTCTCCGACTCGAACTTTTCGATGGTCTCTTGAAAAGGTTCGACTGTAGTTGCTCGAAAAAAATATAAATCTCACACATTACTCCATTAAATTCTCGATTTAGAGAAGCATTGGGTCAGTTTGAAATAACTGAAGCAAAAAAATTTAATCCTTCGATAAAGAAAATTAATTCCCGTCGTCCAGTTCTTCTGCTTTCACTGTAATTAATTCCTCATCTTCCTCAAAATCAGAGGGATGGAAAACAAATTCGGGTCAGACAACAAAATGCAAAACCGCACATTACACGAATTGATAACTGGAATCAACCGGGAAAAAAACATTCCTAACGATATCCAGACAGCCAAAAATAAATTTAATTCGCAACAATATGCGGCTCTCATGTTGAACACTGATTTTTTTTTCCAGAAAAAAAATTATACAACAAAAAAGAGAGAAAATAACGCACGCTTCGTATACAGTACAATACTCATCTTGCATCACAAAGCCCGACGGCATTGTACTATTGTGTGCATCGGGAATCTCATAAATTCGTCATTTCAACTCACCCGGAAACATGGTTGTTGTCCCGGATCTTGATATGCGGAAAAATGTTGGGCGTTCTCTCAGGTACAAGGATGGAAAGCAAGTCCATGGAACTTTGTAACTTGATGTAGCCAAGGTAAAGCCCCGCCGGCAATGCCACTCTACTCCGTTGATCGTAAAGAATCTGGTCCTGTAACCCAGAAAACGTGATTAACGAGGGATTCGAGTTTTCCTCGCTTTCTTGTCTCCCCCGTTACATAAGAAAATGTCGACCTTCAAAGCCGTTATGAACATCGACAGTGAAGCCAATTTGTTGTTCAAGAACATCCTCCTTGTTCCGGTCTCAACTTGTCGACAAGTTCCATCACAAGGCTTATTTTTCTTTTTCTAAAGAGTGCAAGGAAGAATTTTTCTCCAACATTTCGAGAGCTCAAGAGTAAGATTCTTCATCGATGAAAATGAATAATTGCTCTCGTCACCCGGAGACACATTTCAATTAAATGACCAAGCAATAACACGACACTCGGGTAACCAAACTGTTTAATTAAAGAACAGATAAATAATTATTCCATTACACACGTATCAACGATTTAAATGTTCTTTGAAACTGTCCTCAGGGACCTTAAAAGGCTTAAACTTCATTATTCGGCTTATTTTTGACACTTCGTTGCCTTTACTTACGGTAACAGTACAGTTAAATTTTAATTCGAAAAATTCAGAAGAAATTACTGCACCTAAATCGTGAAATAAAAAATTGCAACTACCTTTCTCAAGAACTAGGAATCCTTCAAAAATAGTTCAACTATAAAATTCTGAAGGCACCTGAAAAGCGAGGGAACTTAATGAATCGTAGAAAGAAGCAAGTTGACAACAACTTGCAAGGTCAATTCGGGTAATTTTTGTCATGTTTGATCCAGGATAGTTCGGTAGTTTCAGTAACTGTCAATTGCAATTGCATTTAATTTCATTCAATAACAAAAAATAAAATGAATAAATCGTGAAATACAGAGTCCGAAAAATCGCGAAACGTTCTCAAGAAATGGGAACCTTCGGAAAATATTCAACCTATAAAATTCAGGATGTTACTGAAATCTGAAAGAACATACATAAATCGTTTAGAAAAAAAAGGACGTTGCCCATACCAAGTTTCGACTTTAATTGGGTTATTTTTGTCAAGTTTGTTATAGGCTAGTTTGGTTGCCGTCGTTTCAGTAAAAATCTGAACAATGAAAATTCAATTTTTTAAATAACAAAAAAGTACTGTACCTAAAAAAGTGAACAAAAGAATTGCAAATAATAATAATAAAAAAACAACAGACTTTCTCAAGAAATCGGAACCCATAAAAAAATAATTTCATCCACAAAACCGAGAAACTCACGTGAATTGTAGAAAGAAGTAAGTCGCCGACAGTGGGTTCGGATTCACTGCAACTAGCTTCACTATTGTTCCGACTGCCTCCTCCAATGCTGGCGGATTTCCGCTGCAACTTATTCATCGGGATCCATTTCACGCTCAAACTCTGAATGTTCTTCGGGTTTTTGATTTGGTTCACGCTGCTAATGAGTACTGTTCCACAGCCGTCACGCAAGTGCTGATAGTACAACTGCCCCAGCTCCTGAATCCCAAGTGCTCCCTACATACAAGGTACAATATACAGTACTGTACAGTCGAACCTCTTTCAATTAAAAAATAATAATAATTCGAGTTAGGGAAATGAGCCTTTTTGTTGGGCGAAGGAAAGATGAATTACAGGAAATTGTAATTGGTGATATTCTCGGCCTTAAATTGCTTCTTGAATGAGTTGGCATAATCCTAAACTCACGAGACAAAAATTCATTTGCCCCGATTAGTCAGTCTTTCATTTCCTTTTAAAACACATCAAGTTACATTTTTATTGCTTTCCTCTTTCCTGAGTTAATTAAAATGATAACCAAAAGGCCCCCAGAAAATTCGAGTTATGGAGGTTTGAGAGGGAAAGCCTGGAGGTTTTTTAATGCCTTGTTCCTAAGCGATTTCAGACAGGGACTTTGAAAAAAAAAAAAAAAATAATTCGATAAAGGAAGGTTTGAGTCATCGAGGTACAATTGCATAAATCCCTTCTCTCTCGCGTCATCCGTGATCAAAACGAACACGCGCGAATCTTTCAGTATTACTTTTTTTTTCTTTTCTTCTCCGCGACAATAAACTTCTTTTCGGACTGACTGAAGGGGAGAGGGGGCAATTGAAAAAAAAGGGGGTCGTGGGAGAGGGTCATCGATTAAAAGACCTGGAAAAGAGTGACAGCCGAGAGGATTTTCGACCGAAGCTCAATTTGGGGAGACGTGGAGAGCTTTTCCATGTCCTGGCGAAGCGTCTTGACGTCTTTCCAAGTGCAAGCCACTTTCGTGAGCCAGTTGTAGTCGGTGTGAAGCGGACCTGGCGGCGAATTCTCGTCCACCTCCACGATCGGCAAATGTTCTTCATTCGTCACCAGGATCTTGTCTTCGTTGTAGAATATGCACGCCAAATGAAGGCCCCTGTCATTTTTTCGCGAAAGATAAAAAAATAAAACAAATTAGAAAAATAACGAAAAATTGATTTGAAGTCAAAGCCCACGAAATAGTTCAGAAAAGTCAAAGTTTTCAAGAAATCTTCGAAAATTTGAAGATTTACAAGCAGACTAACGTCGAAGATAACTTTTTCCACCACTCAGGCTGATAAGCATTAGAATTATAATTAATAATACATTAGAACTATTAAATTTTTCAGGTCCCCGAGAGCCACGATGTTGAATGAGTTGCGATTTTACGAAATTTTCCTCGCAACGAAGCTATTTTACTGGTCCCCACGATATTTTACTACATAAATTAGTTAACAATGGTCTGATAGACACTAGATGCCTCCTAGAGTAATAAGGCGATTATTGAATTTATCGTTATTAATTTTTTAAACATAGCCGTTCGTAATTTAGAAATAATTTTAGGCTGGCCTCATCAAAATCATTTCGAATATGCTTCTCGGAGGCACTTGATCACATTTCTTCGTCAAATGTGTTCAAATGATGAGGACTCTATTCCGAAAACGTTTTCCAACTTTTACAATTTTCCTTCAATAATAAATTATCGCCTTCAGGTTCCAAAAACAGTCATTCAGCTGCCAACGCTTTTGTTCAATTTCTTGCTGCTTGGGATACCCTCAATTAAGTCTACAATCTATAGATAAATTCCCGCAAAACTTTCATTAAATACATTTTTAAAAACTGCGAAATTTATTAGTGAAATATCAATCTTCACTACATATTTCTCTTTCAATGATTTGGAACACTCGGAGATGCAAAGAGAAAAATATACAATACTACGCAAACAAATCCAGAACATCGGCGAATTTTGCGCTTCCCCAAAATATTTTACGTTTATTCGCTTCTTGGTTCCATTTCACTTAATGAAGATATTATAAAAAAATGCCGAGTATCTCCTAAGAATGCTTTCAAAGTTGCCATCTCCATCTCGCAATGGAAAGATTCAACCCAACGATTTTTCGAATTATGCATCTCGTAAACTTTTTCCGACAGGAACAGTCATGTCTCACAAACGTACAAAAACTGATCAAACGATGTACAGTACAATACATTATTTTGACAGGGAAAAAAAAGGGTGACTCAATCACACCTCTTCAGAAGCTTCTCCTTTTCAAATTTCGGCGCAGCTGTGAAGAACTGTTTGATGGTGCTCTTCTTCTGAACACGTTTGCCTTCGTCTTCGCTCGCATTGTGCTCCATGTCACGGATTTCAGACGCATCAGCAGGCCGACAAGACAGCAGCTTCTCGAACAGATCATCCAGGGCTCTGCATTTGCCCAGAAACCTCGGCTTCTGCCCGTCAACGTCTCTCCAGGCTGATGTTGGGGAGAATAAACGAACCAACGATGCACATCCAATCAACATGCATGAGCAAAAATGAACGAAAAAAAAAGAGAAAAGAAAGGTGAGGAAGGGGAAGCTCGAAACGAGCGAGTGCCTTCCAACAGTTACCTCGTCTTTCAAAAAATGACAGAACTATCACCGGACTGAACGGGTACCTCCATTTTTGAAATTAATCAACAACAACAAAAAACAAATGCCGTTCGGAATCCTAGAAACTAATCACGGCAGTCTTTCTCTCGACAATGATTTTTCCTGCATAAATTCCGGCTCAGAAACTCCTACATCTTTCAAGTAGCAATCCACGAAGAAAAAAAAACTAAACACAGAGGAAATCTGTTACAAGAAAAACAATTTTCAAGTCGAACGGAGAAAAAATAAATCAACCGGAACCAACGATTTAGAGTTCATTGACTCGACTTTACAGTAGACTATATGTAACATGTTCTCGGTGGGAATTAAACCGGATAGATAACAAATGTGATTTGTCACATTCGGGAAAATATTGTAATAAATACAGAAAAATGTCGGAAATATAGGCCGCCCGGGGTTTTCAAACTAATTTTTGCACACAAAATACGCTGCTCATTCCATCCTCAAAGTCTTCCACATAAATTTTAAACTTTTTATAAAGGTTCATTTTAATTCCGAATTAAAGTCTCAAAAAAAAGTTCTTAAAATTTCCCTTAAAAAAATATAAATAAAGACACCCCAGAACTGGACTAGGATTATTCGAAGTACAATACAGTACTGTACACGACAAATTGCTATTCACTGAAGGGAGAGAAGACGATACAACGAATTTATAGCATAATTCCTTCTACTGTATTATCACCCCACAAATTAATCTCAGTTGCTATTTTTGAAAATTACGAGAAGTAGAGATAACCAAGATACAGTGTTACAGAATTAATCCCCTTAAATGTACATCGATAGCTCTTCATTCTATCGTATTCGTGTACAGTAGTCCCACTCTTTCTCTCTCTCTGCTGATTAATGAAGTGAACACCAACTCAGGTGGACTTCACTACAGTAAGTCCCCGCATAACCGGAAATCTACTTCAGGCTTAAGGGGGAAAAACATGACTCACTTCACGCGAATATTAAATTTGTTGGCCCGAAAAATGCGCAAATTTCAACAAGTTATAATCTGGAAGTTGAGAATTACTTGAAGAAAAAAAAACAGGAGAAAGCACAGTTTTACATCTTCCTGCATTTACAATGTGAGGAATTCTGAAAGTTATGAGCAAGTTGCCCGGAGTACTGTGGTTCAATTTCATGCTAGAAAATATTAAATTCACAATTTATTGCTGCAAAAATACACAAATTCTATGATTTATTAAGGTCTTTTGGTGAGTACCTGGAACACGTTAAATCAATTACAGTACAATGTAATCTTGAAGGAAAACGCTTTTCAGTCACCTAACAAAACTCATCCAAGAACGGCTAGTTCTCGTTATGCGGGTACCGACAGCACAGTACAGTATATTACTGTACTGTACTGCACTATACAGTACTGTACATGCTTTACAGAGTGAGAGTCAATACCCCCTCCTCCTCCTCCTCAAGCAATAAATGTCGCGTGAAAACTTCCTCCACACACACACGGGCGACTCTCCCAAATAAAAAATAAATACATGTACTGTACAGGAAGCAAGAAAGGGAAAAGGGGGGATGGGCGAGGATAAAGGGAATCAGCAAGCTTTTAAACAGAAATAGAGAAGAGATTCGGTTTCCCTCATCCTCCTCCTCCTCCTCCTGTTCGTCAGGCACTGACCCGAGGGGACTCCCGACGAGGGTTGGGCGTTGACGTAAGGACTGTATCCTTTGATGTTGCCGCAGGCGAGACGGAAGAAGCACCGGGAACCCGGCGAGAGCTGAGTCACCGTCAACTGCCGGGCACGGATGTCCAAGACCTCTTTCTCGCCCAGTATCACGCAGAAATTCTCATCGGGACTCCATTGAGCTGGAACCAAAAAATAAAAAATAATAATTATAACAAATCAATGGAAAATCTAACAAACAGCAACCGTCAACTAAGCCACAATTAGACAGACGTCTTAAAGCGTCACAAACAGTTTCATTGCACATGACTCGGAAAAAGCTCCCACCCCCACCTTAAAAAATATATATATATACAGTATATATATATATACATATAATAACGAACATTTTCGCACATCAACAGCTCTATATCCGCAAGATTTCCTACAATTCAAACAAAACACTGTAGAGACAAAAATTTGAAAGCAAGCTTTCTTCTTCTTCGTTTACATTTATCGGACTTTTCATCTGCTTCTTCTGGTTGTTCGATGAGTTATCAACGCCGTGATCACCACATTGAATGCAGTAATGTACCACTAATGCATCAAAATGACCCTTTCCCTATAGCTGAACCACCAGCAGTTTTACCCGCTGGAAGGTAAAAAAAAAGCGGCTGGCGTAAAAATATAATGGGGAAACAGGTAAAAATGAGAGGCACAGAAGGAAGGCCTCTCTCTCTCTGTCTCGATTATTTCTTCTGTAACACCGAGTTGACAAATTCATTTATGATTGTCAGTAGATGCAATGTCAAAGTGCGGATAAGCAGCTAGAACATGATTTCCTGAACAAGGAATAATTTTTTTTTTTGCTCTGTGAGTACCGAAATAAAATCCAGATACAGTGCGTTGAATGAAGGGTTAGATGCCGAAATTTGCAACTCATCATCGATGTCCAAAGTAAGTCGAGTTTCGACGCAATTTACCCCGCAATTTCTTTCGCCATTTTTTGCTGGTCCGCGGGAAGTTTTCTTCAGCAGAATAAATTTATCGAAAGTAGCAAAGAGGTCTGCTATCTTTATCTGAAAATTTGGAAAGGCAATGGCAGGTGAAATTATCTGATGAAAAATGGAAGTTGGCTTTTTTCCTTATAAACCCTCGGACAAATTGTCACCCACTGAAATCCATTATTTTAATGTTTCATTCCGAGAAACCTTATTTTTCGCCCGCCTTTCTACTTTTTCGTTTAAGACAGTCCACTATAGCTGCTTCATTGGTTCTTGAATTAATTTTTGCGAAAAAAGCACTTTTCAAAAGCCTATCATAAAGTCTTACAAGTTTTTTGAGCCTGCAAACATTTTTTGAAACTTTGCCGATCCGCAGAAAATGTTTGGAAAATTTGCCGGCCCGCAGTAAATTTACATGGAAATTCACCAGTCCACGGGTCCAAAAAGGTTGGCAAAATCACTAGGGAATTAGAGTTCTATTACAAAAAAAACAACTCGCCGAAAAATACAATTCAAAATCTTGAGTACATAAAATGCTCACCTTTCACTTTGGTACAAACGGCGAGGTTTTGATCTTCGGGCTCAGAAAAGCGAAGACATACCGAATCCGAGCCAACAATTTCCATCGCTAAAGCAGGTGGCGGATCCGGCGGTCCTGTTCCAAAAAATAAAAAAGACGAGAAAATTGGTCCTTTTGTGAAAAAAAAGTCGGCACTTTCAAAGAGACAATCTGACCAAGATCTACCACGGACTTCGGGGGGAAATGATCGCGAAATAGAGACCACTTCCACGATTGCTGTAAGTGAAAGCGTCATCACCTCATCATTCAATGCACCAACGATTCTCTAGTTCAGAATCTACGTGAGTACATAGGGGGAAGGAAAAAAAAGCGCCAAGCAATTTCCTTCGTCCAATATCTCATGGAAGAGATCATTCGATCATATAAGCGTGAACCTCAATTGCAAATCAATCATCAGAAAACCCACCAGTGTAGCATGACTCAGAACAGGAAAAAAAATAAAATTTACATATATGCGTGTGGCAAAAATATATATATACCGTGTATATAAATGTACGTGATTTAAAATATATAAACGAGAGATATATATATTTATATCGTTCATATAGTTAAATCCACTTACATATATATATATCGTTCATGTATTTTAAGCCACATACATTTATATATACGGTATATATACACATTTTTTAAAACCACAAATATATATCATATATATATATATATTTATTTATTTATTTATATTACTATATGTGGTTTTAAATATGTATTTTTAAGTATATATATATATATATATATATATATATATATATCACTTTATGTGGTTTCAAATTGGTTATTACTATATGGCATTACTATATAATTATATATCACTATATAAGTTGGTTATTACTATATGTGGTTTTAAATATGTATTTTCTAAGTATGTATATATACATACATATACATATTTACAATATTTTACATGAATAAATATACACTATATAAATAAATTTTACAATTTATTCAGAATTGAATTAGGGAGTTTTATTGAATTAGGCTTTATATACAGTCAAACCCCGTTAAACCGCCAACGTTTGTGCTGCAGAATTTTGGCGGTTTAACGGGGTTGGCGGTTTATCGAGGAAAGGATGAACCAAAGTAAAAAAAAAAATTATACCACTGCCACCTCTGCTTCAACCTAGCTGAAGTATTTTTCATCTTCTGATTTTTCGGGAATTTTTTTTTAGTACAAACATCTCAAAATTGAGTAACCCAATTAAATTTATAATTATATATATATATATATATATATATATATATACAGCATACAGTATATATATATTTTTTTACGACAAATATATATACTGTATATACTATATGTGGTTTTAAGTATGTATATTTCAAGTATATTGTAAAATTGTAAAATCAAGTTCAAAAAAATCCAGAGCATTTCCCGTTGGTTATTTGCGATTTCCACGAAATTTAGGAACCTCAAGTTCATATTCAAAGGAGATGTCGAATTTTTTAACAACAAAGTTTGAACGAAAAGTTGGAAAATCCAGCTTTGTTGCTGTGGGAAAAAATGAAAAAAATAGCACAGAGGTCAAATTAATGACATTTTCCGCCTTGAACTGCTGAATAAATTAGGTGAAAGTATGCTGAACTTGGGGTAAAATTTGCCAAATTAGTCTCTCACGTCCCTCTTGCAAAGCATCGAAATTTACATTTTTATTGCTCTTCTTTTATTTTCGGGTCCCAAGAATAACGGCACAAAGGTCTCTCATAATCATACCGTAATTATAAGATGCTTGAAGGGGGAAAGTCCGAGTTAGGGAGGTCTATTTTGCCAATTACTGTACATTATTCTTATGAGGATGAAGACAGAGACTAAACAAAACAATATTGAAACACAACGGTTTTTAGACCCAGGGAGGTTCAACTGTAGTGATCAAGAGGAACAGTCAGATTCAACTTTACAAAACAATTTTTTCTAGATAAGTTCGAAATCACACTATAAAAAAAGATTCTCTCTTCGTGAAATAATTGGTATTTCACACTGGGGGCATAAAATACGGTAGATTGTTTATAAATTGGCTAAACAGTTGCAATGAACACAGTATTTTCTCTGACACCACGTCAGGTCGAGTCAAGTTCATTTCTTTTCTCATTCGAACAAGGAAAGCCTTGAAGCATGTATCCGATGAACCCAGAAGTACGAGGATATTTTTAAGAATCAAGTTAGCACTGTGCTTCCTTGTTTGATATATTGCGGTGGAATTTATGTGTTCATATAAATACCATTTGATCCATTTCCTCGCGATTGTTTCAGTCATTCCTCGTCCAGATTGATGAAGGCATTGAACAGTTAGTCCATGATGTCACAAAATGTTACGCTCGCCTCAGGGCATAGCGTATTGTTAAAAAAATGACATTATTACTCCGAAGAAATTGTTGAAAAAGTTCAGCAAGGTGTCAAAACACTCTAAACAGTAATTTAAAGCCGAAATGATCACCGAAGTTTCAACATCATGTAATTCTCCATCACTTAAAGGCACGAATGCTAATTTCCCTAACTCAAAAACTCTCCAAGTGGATTTTTCTGCAGGTTCCTTTGAAATCGACATAAAAAGATTTTAACGTACACAAATATTTATTTCATTTTTTTGCATTTAATGTCATGAAGTTTCTTTCCAAGCACTTATTGCGCTACAAATAACGATTGAACCTCTATAACTAAAAGCACCCCAAGTCTGGTACCTACTTTTGTCCAAATTTTTTTGAAGACGCCGTCGGAGTTTCTAATGAATTGTATTTAAAATTTTCAAAACTCAACTGCTTTTCCCCGAAAATCTTTGCATCTCAAATGTTCTGAGGGCAGTTTGGCTATTATTTTCGCGACTCAGGAAAGAAAAACGCAAGAAAAATGTAACTTGATGCTCTTTGAAAGGAAGTGAAATGATAATTCGGCAAAGGAACCCTTTGCTCATCGTTCAGCAATACTGTACATGCAATTCCTAAGAAGGCAGTTTTGGGCCAGGCCAATAAAGATCACTTACGTCAACTCCCCTTAAAGTTTTTGTCAAAGCAAAAATTATAGTTTCCCCAATTAGAAACGTCCCGAGGTCACATTTTTCCGTTGGTCCCGTGGAATTCGAGTTAAAGAGGTTCAATTGTTCTATTAAAGAAACTAGCCTCAATACTTGAGTTAGTATATTTGTAAAAAAAAAAAAAAAAAAAAAAAAAAAAATTAATTATTCGACTTTCACTGCAGCTATTGTTGCTTTCTCTTTTCCAAAAAACTACCTTCGAAACCCAAGTCCTAACGCGAAAAGTGTTTTGAAAAGTGTACAAGTGATTTAAGATTTGGCCTCAACTAGGCATTTCCCGCAGGTGATAAGCCTAAAAAACCCTACCAAAAACCAAAACTATCAACAAAAGGAGAACAACAAAAGGTGACGTAAGGAAAAGAGGAAAAAGCCCTCAAAAATATCCAAGACAAGTCGAAACAAAGAAAAACCAGCCGAAAAATGCCACCAAAGGCAATGAAGAAGAAACCGGGAAGGCCTCCCAAAAAGATCATCATTGATCAAAACATTGAAATTGAAACCCAAAGCCAAAACGAAATGCATGAAGAAGTTGAAACTCCTACCGAACAAGAGACACCAGGAAGAAGTTTGGCTACCTTAACCACTTCAACATGCACTTCTGATTCATCCTTAAACACACCGCTGTCATCTACTGAAATCATATCCGAAAACAAAACCAACAATGCTTTTCGTGATTTAACATCGAAACTCTTCCGAATTGTACAACTAATTCGTAAAGGAGATTGGGCAAACGTGGAACCTAAACAGGACCTTAAGCTAAAGACCTTTGAAGAAATCATCGAAAACTTTTCTGAAGCTTTTGCATTCCTTTCTATGACGCAACTTGACTTTCTTGATCAAGAAGATACGAATGAAATCATGGCTTTAAAAAAGGAGATAACTAACCTTGCTTCGCATACACCGCAATCTTTGCCAAAAGAGTGGAATACTCTCAGGCCAGCGCAAAAAACTATACTTGATATCAATTTTCCGGAACCCCCAGCCGTAATGGTTAATGCTCCTAAATCCGTTTCACTGAGTGAAAGCTTTGACGATGATGACGAAGATTCAGACTCAGACACTGAAGAAGGATTTGCTGTAGAAGCAGAGATTAAGACGTACGGTAAAGGACAGTCAATCTTGAAGGGAAAAACTCCTGTACAGTACATACAAGACTATCTGAGAATTGAAATGAAGACGTTTCGTAAATTCAAACCTGAACAGGATTTGGATCAAGACTTTGACCGAGTTTGGTCATACTACAAACCAATTCATAAGGCACCAATCTATGAACTGACTCCTGAACAAAGAATTAAATTGTATGTTCTCATAGGAAGCATAGTTGGTGAGAAAAACGCAGAATGAAAGCGTAAAACAAACTACTGTAGGACAATCAATGGTCTGTTACATTCCCGTAATTTTTAATACCAGCACGAAGAAGGTTTCTGCTTATGTTTGTCACTGTCCGAGCTTTTGGTTAATTCAAGATCGTAAAAAAATTGTCAGCCTTGAAGCTTTAAAAACGGATCCAGTTTTTTTTTTTT